CACATGTCAAACAGTTAAACTAAGCAACGTACCACGCATACCCAACGCGCGCTGCCACCTAGATCTGGCGCTTTGGAATAGCACCTAACTATGGAGTGCAAAAATGTACAAAATTAAAGCTTGGGTACAGCACAGTCGTTGGGATACGGGAGTTTATGTTCAACAGCTACCCTACCCTCCCGGCTGGGAACAACCGAGCATCAACGGTACTATCCGTACATTCTGAATACAGACGGGACGACTTCGGAATATTTCGGCTATTTCCGGAAAACTGGAGGAATTCCTCCAGTCTCGGTCACGTGGACATTGGGTGATACCCACTGATCTTTATACAATGGATAGGCAGCTCAGCAGTAACTGTGTGAATTGAAGTGACCGCGCGGCCATCTTAGGATTTTCAATACAATGGCCTCCAACTTCAGTCCATTCACTAAGTGCAGTCATGCGCGGCGCTAAAGACAGCGACTTGGAACTGCCATTGTACCGAATAGCCTAAGATGACCGCACAGTCACAGTCACGGAGCAGAGCTGCCTATCCAGTGTATCGACATCAGTGGGTGTTACCGGACCCTTGATTCGTAGAGAGAGTCAGAATCATCGGGTCTGGTATCCAAACTACGGCACTTTAAGCCCCTTCCCTGATGCATTAAAATTTAATGTAAATTTATGTCAGTTTTTATTTAGAATGATTTAAATCTGCGTTAAATTATATGGCAATGTTTTAAGCCACATTTTACAAAAAATGGAAATGAGTTTTAGAACACCGCATAGTTGGGAAACACTCCCATTTAACAGATTACATTGAATATGATGGACACAGGGAGCGAGATTAAATGTCTTCCCTATAAACGAGGTCGGTTACACCAAAGCCCCGAGTGGTAGTTCCTTTCCCCTCAATTTTGATAGAGTTTCTGCCTGAAAAACCATTTGGTCGTTTCTCCCCTCTACAGGACCAAGTTAGTGGCTATCCTAGCCATTCCTTTCGGGGCTGCTATGATGGCTTTGATAAGTATCCCACCCATCGTTGACATGTTCGACTCTGCGGTGTGAGTATAGGCTAAAGAGTTTACTTCCATTGCACATGGACGCGCGTCAGTGTCATTTGCAGGCCAGCGCATTTGTTCCGTGGGGATACCGTGCATGATATGGGGCCGATGGGTACCTCCCCCCACATGTCCAATCCCTATACACACTCTAGGATATTGTCACCTAGCACATCCCCCTAGAAGTGTGTACAGAATTCCTGAGATTCCGATCAAACAATGACCAACACAAAGGGGGGAGGGTGTTCTGTCCGTCCCATATCTTGCATCATTATGTCCGCAGGGTATGCGTAGAGACGGTTTCCCGTGAAACAAAAAACTACCCTACAAGACAGTCACCTCGCAAAGTCTACCACACAAAGCCTCTATAGACTGTTTGCAGCATACAAAAGTCTGACAGCATACAAAATGCCGACACGGACTGCTCAAATGGATCAGAAAGGATGAAAAATACAGATGTTTTCACTTCTAAGTAAGATAAAAATAGAAATAAAATTACCTCGAAATTTGGAATTTCATTCACCGTGAGCAAATCTGTGCACTATTGCGAATTACGCATTATAGGAAAATGTGGGAATTGTAGTTCTTGTCCGAGAACTCCAGCAAAGTCCTCAGAAGAGTTAGCGTTTTATGGGGCATGGCAACGCAAAGTTAAAGTCAAAATGAAAGGAACAAGGAATGTAAAGCGCATTATCTCTCGTATAGTATTAAATATGACAGTGTGGATGTTATACTTTCCACAGGTGGTATGGTATCCCAAACAACCTTGGACTCAGTTCCATTATATCTGGCCTTTGGAATGGTGGAGTTTCAGTCGGGTAAGTCGTTGCATGAGGTTGCAAGGAGAGACATCCCCTTTGCTTTTATTATAATTGAATGCTGCTCGATGGCTGCTGCCACTAATAATCATTTTTGTTGCTGTTCTTGTTGCCCAAATTTAATGGTAATGAAGATGGTGCAGATGCAGTTGGTAAAAGTAATGTTGATGTAAATGGTAATAATGGTACTGTTAAAATGTTATGAAAGACAGGTGTATGATGACGATGAACAGAAAAAGACATCACATAGTTATAAAGTGACGTCATCAAAAGTGAAAATAATAGTGTATCTTTGTAACGGCTGATGACTTTAAGCTCTTGACCATTAAAGCCGCTATCAGTCGTTGCTGATTTCTGTTAATTTCTAACATCTTTTCTTTTTCTGCGTCTCGTGTCTGCAACTCACATCATCATCCTGCACAGACTTTTCGCCGGGCCTTTGTTAGGGGGACAGCTGGCGGATCGCTACGGATTTGCCATTTTATCGACGGTTATTGCTGGTTGTTGTCTCGTGGTTATGATCTTCATTTGTCTGTTTGGAGTGTGGGAGTATCAATGTGGCAAAGGGTTAGTATTCGGTCTAAAAACGTCACAATTACATTAGATACAAGGTATTTTAGATGCCATTTGGGACTTTAAGTGTTTACGTTGTTGTGTCTCGCAAGGCCTATATAATGCCTGGAGCTTGTAGTCTATAGAACTAGAGTTTTACAAGACAAATCCAAAGTCATTTATCACTTGATTTGTCATGAACAAATGCTCCTGTCGAATGTTGAGTCACCTACAGCTAGTTTTAATTCCCAACTAAGGACAAGTGTAAAGTCGCTATGTGCGAATAACTTTATCGCTTGGGTTATGCGTCTCCGCAGCATTTCTGTTCTGTACAGTGGTAATTTACATTTTGGGACTGTTTGACCTTGCAGGAGACGAATACCTTCATCACGGCTTGAGGCGGAGGCTAATTCGACTGAAGACGAACGGAGGCCACTCGCTGCAACAGAATGATGTACGATAACATTTGGTGGAGAGCTGTTATAATGTTAATTCAAAACAGGAATAGATTCCTACGAGGAAAAAAATGTGTGGGGCAATTTGCCAAAAAAGTAATTTAGAAGATTTTAAGCATGTTTCTACCATGTATTAGCACAATTATCATAGGTGAACAGTAAATTTGTATTCAAAAATTCTATGTTTTATGAATAACGAAAAACCACCAACCATGTGAAAATGTCGGGTTTTAAACAATAAAAACTAGGTACTTACCACTTTCTATGCTTTGTAAATAGGCCTAATGCAACATTGTACCCTTGTTCAATGTATGAAAACTGTTGCTATTTGGCATCGAAAAGTGCACCTAAAAAATTTCTGAAAACATGTGTTTTGGCGACCCCTAACCAGAAACATCATTGTTACTGTGGGAATCCGCCTGTTGCCATTCAATAAATTACATACCTAACGTTTGCCCTAAAGCAACTGGGGTACTGATTCACCTCTTATTTAGACGTGTTCCTTCGCGTGTGTTGGGAATAGTTCCGACTACTTCTATGGTAGTTGTGTTTAATTTACCTGGACTCCCCAAAGACACTCTGGGTAAAAGTCATTGCAAATTTTTGGAATTAGCTTAATAGTAGATTGTCATTGTATGTTTATAATATTCCTACCTCGCATGGATACGCCATTTCTTGCTTCTTGTTTTGCTGGCCCCGCTGTGTCCTGGACGGGTTCCTCTTCCGTGGCTGACGCTTTAAGAAGGGAAGATCATATATCGCGTCTGGGTTCCTTTCAAGTTTTGCCTGTTCTGAATGAGGCTCCGGGCCTTGTCCTGCAGCATGCAGCCCATTGTTCCAAGACTTTGAACCTGCGGTGTCCGGGTGAGTTGGTGTTAGGAAGCTTGGTGCATTTGCGCTGGTAAATTGTAATTTATAACTCTATTTGTAACATTCTAATGTGTATATAAAAGCTGGGTGTGTGGCATAGTCTGCTCATTTACATAGCCACCATGACAGCTAAATAGCCGCCGCTCGTTCGCCGCTCGGCAGAGGTGTACGGCAGAGGTGTACGGCAGCGAAATCTGGACAGCGTATGCTAGACAGGAACGCCGCCTCAACAGTTTCCACTTACGTTGCCTGTGCGCATCTGGAGCATCTCCAGGCAGGACAGAGTACCGAACACCGAGGTGCTCGAGAAGGCAAACACCCAGAGCATGTTTGCGATGCTGTCCAACAGACGTCTGAGGTGGCTGGAACATGTTCGCCGGATAGAGGATGGACGCCTGCCAACAGACGTCCTCTATGGCGAGCTCGCAGCAGGATCCAGACCAGCCAGCCACCCCATGCTGCGTTTGTGCGAGAGGAAAATGAAGGCTGCGGAGATCGACCCAAGCTCATGGGAAATGGCTGCTGACGACCGCAACAACTGGCATCATGTCATCAGAACAGGTGTCAAGAGAGGGGAGGAGAGAAGGAAGCAGCAGTGGCACGACAAGAGGGAGCCACGTAGAGCAAGAGCAGCCCCCGCACCTATGCTGCCCAGTGCCTACACGTGCAGGCACTGTGACAAAGACTGTCATTCCAGAATGGGACTTTTCATCCATAGCCAGCGCTGCTCCAGGACAAATTGACTTTTTCCGGCACAGATCCATTGTCTTTTGAGACAGAAAGAGACTTCTACTTTCTCTACAGTGATGAATTCCTAGGAGAAAGAGTTTAGTTTACCTAAACGTAAACTCACTATTTTTGTAATCCGTACTTCATACATTTAAATATCATTCATGAATAAATGAGACATTTTAGCCATTCCCATTGGTTGAGAGCCTGTCACGTGGCAGGTATTTAATGGATAGCCCCAACAATCCCAAATCCTCCGATTGCAAAATGATTTTGTATACACCCTAGAGGGGTAGGGTTAATTAACAGAGCACCGGCTGTCTGTTCAACACCTCACTCGCTAAGCGAAAAATCAATCCCCATATACAGAGATTGTTCACAACCACTCGCTAGAAAAACATATAGGCCTACCGTAACATGGTTAGACGTGTATTTGAAAAAATTGAAGTAAAGTTGTTAATCAACAGAATCTCGGGCAACAGAATAGGCAATTTTTAAGACCTTGTGACTCAAAAGGTATTTCTGAACTGGACTAAATGCTTTGCTCGTCTTGAACGTTCATTTAAAACCGGTTGAGCTTTTGGCTTGGACATTACCAATGTCCATTCTTTTGATCTGGTCTGAAATAAAAGTTGAAGACTGTCAGAAGACAAAGCTTTTTCCTTTCATAGACTTCCACTTTGTAAAAGTTACAAACAGCTCGCATGCACTGCAGTGATACGTCTGTATGTGGTACAGTAAATGTATTTTATGATATCATTTAGTTACAGTTTTTCATGAGGACTTTCATTTCGTGATCATTAATGTCGATTATATACCAATAATTCTTTTAAAGTTACGAGCACTAACAATTAATTTTATGTTAGGACACCCAACTCTCTTTGCTTTGGCCAGTACGAAACCCTTTAATTTCAATATGTTATTATTTTATGGTCATTTAATTCCGCCATCAGCTACGTCCGATCTATTGTGCGTATTATGCTTGACATAATACCCGGCGACACCTGATGCGGACTCAGAGCTACCAGAAGCAGCAGTACGACCGTCGCGCCCAGGAGGGCGGGTTCGAGCCCGGCCAGGCTGTTTGGCTGTTCACCCCAAAGAAGAAAGTCGGCCGCTCCCCCAAGCTGCAGTGGTGGTGGGACGGACCCTTCGCGGTGCTACAACGCCTCAACGACGTAACCTACAAAGTGCAGTGTACCACCCGAGCGAAGGCTCAGATCGTGCATCGCAATCGGCTCAAGCGCTACCTGGGCGACTTGCAGCTTGGGTGGTTGGAGCGCGCAGCCCGCGGAGCCTTGGCCGAGGAGGCGCCAGCGCGGGCAGGCGGGCAAGGAGCCAGCGGATCCGGCCCTCAGTCCTGCCCGCGGGGGCCGTCTCCCCCCGTTGACGAAGGGACCGCACTGGAACCTATTGACGGGGCGAAGTCGGGACGCCCGGGCCGGAGCGGCGGCGTGTCGAGCGGGAAGAACTCAGACATAAGCAGCAAGGGAGGCAGCGCGCCGGCAGAGCCATCGCCGTGCGAACCGGAGGCGGGGGGAGCGCGCGTGAATCACAAGGGGCGGCGGGTTCGGCGCCCGGCGCGATTCTGCTCCACGCTAACTCCTGAATCTCCCTCTGTTTCTCTCCCCGGGATGGACCGGTTGGCCTGCCCCCACTGTTAGCGAGAATTCCGCCAGCGGACCAACTTGCGGCGACACCTGAGGTCGGCGTGTCCGGAGCTGTTCGCCACCCGGCCCTATACCTGTGAGCGGAGGTGTGGCCGCTGCTTCTACCGCTTGGACATGCGGGATCGGCACCACCGACACTGCGACCACGTCCTCGTCGGCCAGATCCAAGCGGAGGATCCTGACGTCCCAGAGGTCTCCGCCAGTGGCGGGGAGTTGGGGGGTGACGAGTTCCCCATGGAGCAGTCTCTCCCCCCTGCCGGTCCTCCGGGGGGAGCCGCCCGGACCCGCCCCCGGTCGGCTGCCGCGGGTGGCCCACGCCGCCAGTGCCCTCTCCGCGCCGAAGGCGGGGATCACGAGGCCGGCTGGAACAATGAGACCAGTCGGACTCGCCTTCCAGTGCGGCCCCGGGCCCCCGCGGCGGCCGCTGCGGCCGGGACCGCCCCCCAGCGCCGCTCAGTAGAGACGGGGACGCAGACTGAGGAAGAACCCCTAGCTCGGGTTTGGAGCGGGGGCCGCCGGAGTCTGCCCCCTGGCTCCTGGGTGACGTATGCGGGGGGGATCCGCCTGCGACTGGGGGTGCGAGCCACTCTGCAGGAGGAGCGGGCCACCAGAGACACAGACACCATGATGGACCCACCCTTCTGTGAGCTTCACCACAGCCAGTGGCGGTCGGAGGTCCAGCGGGAGTCCCCTCCACCGCCCACCGGAGTCCGTCCCCCCGGAGCAACAAAGAAACGCCGGGGGGCACCACGGCAACCGGAGTCTCCTCCACACTGGACCCCTGGATCCCCCCATGGTAGCGGAGAAGACCCTCGGAACCCACAATACTTGTACTTGTTGCTTGTTATTCCACTGCCTTGTAAGCTGCACAGGGGCGACCGGGATGGCCTTTGGCTGGCCCGCTGGGTTGCGTCGCCTCGTTCGGGGACGAACAAGAGTCCTCGGAAGGGGCAGTGTAGCACCGGCGGGTCCAGCCGGTGGGGGCGCCAGCTCGGACCCGCATGGAGTTGGCTGGCTGCCCCCGCTGGTATGCGAACGGCCCGCGGTTTTCCCGCCTTGCGCCTGCGCAGTCCCTGCCGACAGGCGCCATGTTTAGAGCTTGTCTGAAAAAGGCATTGTTGTGGACGCTACATCAGTAAAACAGAGATTTCGTGACCAGAACAGCGAGTTGCGGCTGTGTGTGAATCTATACTAGCGTCGGACCCTAACCCGTAGGACACGCTACAGTATTTTGGCCGATACCGATACATTAATTTATATATATATCAACGATATAATTTCATTCATTTTATTTTTCAAGATATTATAACAGGCGCGAACTGTTGTTGAACTGTCTAAAGGTACACCCCTACACCGTAATGGTGTGATCCAATTTACTTTGGCGACATCTTCTGGTACCGACAGTAGAGCGTAATGAATATGCACGACCCTGACGTCATCACGGCTATATTCGTGTCGTCACATACAGCACGTACGTTCGCGTGCACGCGAATTTCCAACATCCGAACATGGCAAACATGTATAAAGTGCTAGTGACGACTGTCGGTTAAGGGGGCGACAGTAGAAGGTAGTGGGGCGACAGTAGAAAGAGGACTTGTTAAAAGTGATGACTCGGTTAAGGGGGCGACAGTAGAAGGTAGTGGGACGACAGTAGAAAGAGGACTTGTCAAATGTAGACCTAATGACTATGTTGGAGCGACAGCAGGGAGTGGTGGCGCGACAGTATAAAGAAGACTTGTGAAAAGTAATGATTGTCGCTAAAACGGTGGCCGTGAACAACGAACACGTTGCTTGCTAGTGCATTTTGCATACAGGCTTTTCCGTGATAAACATGAGTTAATCCTGAGCTTCTGGTGACGTCATAACATGCATTTTCATTACTAGCTCTACTATCGAACCTTTTTATGCCACCGATGTTCAAGCGTCCGGATTCCGAATGTTGCCTACATGGGATGGGATACATGCTGCCGTGCATAGCGATATTATCAGCATGCACTGTATGTTGCTAGTCTACGTAAACGTTTGGTTAGCAAATAGTTCTCTGTTTTGGAGGACAAATTCTGTGATATTTTTGAAGCAAAGTGTACGAGAATTATTGAGTGCCAGACTGAGATAGGTGACTGAATTTCTTCTTCCAATGTCGCCGTATACGCCGCCCGGAGTATAAGCTACAGGGACATTTTTCAGTCAGCGTGAGAACGAACCAACGATAAGCGGTGGCTTATCGAAACCTACGGTAATGTGACAATGCATTTTCGTATTTTAATAAAGTTTGTTCCTCAGTAGCGATATTTTCGATATATTTTTCAATATCGATGTCTCCGAAGTTTCGATATTTTCGGTATTTCTGCAAAATCCGATATTTTCAACATATCGATATTACCAATATACCGATATATCACTATTACCAAATAACTTACATTGGCAATATCGATATCAGACGCGTATCGATAA